TGTATGTTTTGTATATTTTTCACACCTGTGTTATAGTTAATTATGAGAATATGCAAGTTGCCTTACTACAGTTGTTGCCATGGCCATGTGCATGTATTTTGCTGTCCAGTTTATACGCATTTAATAGTTAGTTAATCAGATTCTTCAGCTGCTCAGTTATTTAGTTAAGCATATGCTCAGCTATCTATTTATACATGTGATTAGTTATTTAGTTAATCAGGTATGCCATTGCTCTGTAATTCAGTTAATTAGTTATGACAATAGTTATATGTGATTCAATAATATTACAACGAATATGCCTCAATTAGTTATCTAGTTTAGTTATCTGTAAGGTTTTGTTTTCTGTGGGTTGTTTTGCATATACTCGATTTATACCACGCATAATATATGAAACATGGTTATGGCTTCTGGGATTCTTTGAATCTCACCCTTGTCTTCTATATAATCATAGGGTCCCTTTGATCTAAGGGGAAAGAAAAGAGAAGAAGAATTTAGTTAACTAATTAATCAATGTAAAAAATTAATACATTATGTGTTTATATTCTCTTTTGTGATATTTTATATTTTTATATTATCTCCTATTTGTGAAGCATGTAAAGTGTACTATTATTATATTTCTATGTACTTCCATAAGGAGGAGTACTTTGAGGCAGTTTTAACATAGTTGGGGTTTTAGTATTTATTTGCATATATTGATAATATATAAGTGATATGAATGAATTAATGTTTATAGGTTATGATTTATTAGAGCTGGAACAAAAAAGCAGAATTTTCAAAAGTAAGACCCGTACACCTTTGGTAAATAGATATTGCTGGCTAATAGGTATATGTAGAACGAATTCAGGTCTTAAATTATAGCATAAATATCAAAAATTAAAATTATAAGTCTTGTATCAAAGTTAAACAAAGTTTTGAAAATTTCATCTTTTTAGTGTATGATAACCATTGTTAATAAATCTGCTCTCGGCTAGGTATATTCAGTTAGGTATTACAGTCTAAACTAAAACTATGATTTTTATATATAGTATTATTATCTTGTTAAATGAGTTAGTGGTTGTTTATGGCACTTAGAATGAATGAATGATTGGGATCATTATGTCTTCATAGTTTCTTTTCAACTTGTACATTTATTATTTATCATGTGGTCAAAAATGAAAATCTCACCACCAAAAAACCTCCTTTTGTGAAAAGAATATAGTTATGGACCTTCAGCCACAACAAGAACCTCAAAACCTTGTCATTTTTAAAGGCGTGGCTTATTTTTTAGTCATCAAACATATCAAACAACGAAGAAGCACATAGAATGGGACAAGCAAAGGAAATTCGAAAACGCCTAACCATTATTACTTTTTGTTATCACGAAATTTAATCTGTTGAATCACTGAATACGACAGGGCTATTTTAGTAACAGAGAAATCAGTAATAGGGAAAAATTTCAGTGATGTTTTCCCCTCCACCTGCATAAACAATAAGACATATTATTGTAATAATATATATAGACTCAGAGAAAAAAAAATTGTAGAAATTATTTAACAATCGTGACATCAAAGACCTAGAGGCTAAGATACGGGAACTAGTCCCGCAAGCAGGAACAAGAACAGAGGAGAGGAGACCCATAGATCCTAAGGCCTCAAACTCATGGAGGAAAAGACGCACCACGCATGGAATAGGTGAAGGCGAGCTCAACGGACCAATGGGAAAACACAAGGGAACACCAACAGATGAAGAGCTTGAAATTAGTGTGTGTGTGTAAATTGATAAAAAATTTCATCATTATATGTTTATATATATTTGATTTCCCTCATCAAATATATAACGATGAAATATATAACTAACATAATTGTTAAATTATGATGTAAATAATAACATTATTTTCTTTTAAAACTTGTTTCTGTTACTTAAATACAAATTAACATGACATATTTATTAAAATATATATTTATTATTTCAAAATTACTTTTACTTAAATGCATTGACCACCTTTACTTATTTTTTAAGGTGTACTCAGCATTCTAGAATATTTACTGGTGTAATTTTGCCTTTCATATATTAAAAGTGGAGCAATTACGCCCTAAGGTTATGTTTGGTATGCAGCAATAAATTTGAGGGTTTGGGATTGGTAATAAGACAGGGAATGGAACTGGAAATCATGCTGTAGACTTACGTTTGGTACAAGGTAATATTTGACAGGATTGGCTCGATTAATTTTTATTTTAAAATCAGATCCAAGTTATGAAAAGACAATAATGCCCCTTCCAATAAGCAAGAGAGCGAGGAGAGGTAAAGCGAGCGGCAAGTTTAGAACGATAAGAGGAGAAGATAAAATTAGGGCGGAAGTGAGAAGGTCAAACTCATCTGAAAATTATTATAAATGAGGATATTTTTGTTCTAAAACTCTTCAATCCCAGAATTGAAAATGCAATATCGGGGGGAGGGCGGTCTGTCCAGTCCCACCCACGTGGCACTGTGCAATCCCAGGCCTTGCTCAATGCCACATACCAAACACCATAAATTGTCTCATTCCCTGATTCAGTCCCTGCTCCTCGCTCCCAATGTCACATGCCAAACGTGGCCTAAAAGTAACGTGCCTTTAACGCCGTCAATCAACACCATCTTCAACAACGTGAAATCACAATGCTGGCTGCTATTGTACTCTGCACTGCGATTGGACTCTTCAGCACCTTCACATATTAAAAGTGGAGCAATTACACCCTAAAAGTAACACGCCTATAAACCCGTCAATTAACACCAACAGCGTGAAATCACAACGCTGGCTGCGATTGGACTCTGCACTGGGAAAAGCTTAAGCGAAGAAGATGAAGAAGAAAATGAGAAATCCATACTTCGGTTCCATAAGTGCTAAAAAAAAAGTTTAAAATCTAGAAAACTTGGGAGGAGATAAAATAAATTCAAAATAAATGAAGAACCAACTAGGAACTAAAATGGAGAAGCTTTTTAGATTATTTTAATTTGACGGGGAGTGTGAAGGAGAGAGAAAATTTGGAGCGTCCAACTGCCAAAAAAAAATCAATTTTGTTCTTTTTTTTTTTTTTTGACCAGCAAAATCAATTTTGTTCTAGCCATCAATAAATTTACAAAGGAGCTTAATAGGGAAGGAGGCGGGCAAGACCCTCCAAAGCACTAAATGCTGAGCTCTGAGAAATACTAGCTATTTTGTGCTGAGATCTGAAGTTCTGACACTGGCGAGCTTTGCATCGTCTTCTTCACGTCTGCACCACTGTCGACTATGGGCAAAGCAAACTCGACTCAATGGTGATGGAGAAAACACTCTACCTCATGATGTTGTTTCGGTGAGGCAAAATTAACAGCATCAAAAGTGTGTTAGGTTGGGGTGAGATTTCTCCACTTTTAATATTTTAAGATGCTTAATGCATCTCAAAATATAAGTGAAGGTGCTAGCTTAATCCTTTCATTTATAACTAAGAAATAAAATGGTTTACTATAAATTTTTTATTTTATAAAAAATATTTTATGACGATATAATTAATATTAGTTATTTTTATGGAATAGTACACAATAACCTAGTAAACAAAGGTACGCACTAATTTGAACACAAAATATAAAGAGAAGTCAAAATCCAAATTTTAAAAGGTATGCACTACTAATGATCTACTTAGCTATTAACTGTTTTTGTTTTTCACTATAGACTACTCTAGTTTTAGTATTGACTAATTTTATTTTTAAAACTCTGAGTACCCTTTTAACAAAAATAGCTAATAGCAATAATCAACAGCTAAACAAAAATAGTTATCGGAACTCTAAAAACAAAAATAGTTGCTAGCTATGCAGGAATAGTCAAGAGGTTAAAAAGAGCAGTTGTTAAAGCTTTAGCTACACGCCACCAGAGCTCCAGTGGTCGAGTGTTGGAGAGGTCACTGGTCTTGGAGCTTCAACGGTGAGCCTCTAGCTATGGGTGCTTAGCAGGTATATATTTTTAAAAAACTAAAAGAAACCTGATTTGGGAGTTTGAAATTTACCTATCCTAATTCATCATTCAGCATTTCCAAGGGTATGTTACTGTCATTTTTTTTATTTAATTATCATTTTCTTAGAATTTATGACTTATGCTACATTATGTTCTAGATCGTCACAAGCAAAAAGGTAGATTTGATGGTAACAAACTGTAAAAACCAGAAGAGTTGATCGAGTCAGATAATCAAAGCGTATAATATCTCCTATCGTATTCTCTTTACATATATAAGGTTTATATATATATATATTCACTGATAAAAAAATATATGATTTTTCTACAACCTTTTACGTTTTTTGTGAAAAAAAGCATGTAATTATTGGAAAGAACAGAAGTATGTGATCCCATACAAGTGATGAAATTAATATTTGCATTGTCAACTTGTTCGGTATGTGCTCCTCTAGTCCTTAATATAAGATTTATTTAACTAATTTGATTAGATTAAGGAAGTTAGATAGGTTAGTTAATTATAATAAATATGACATGTTTTTCCTAAAACTCCATAATCATCTTCCTTAATATCTTCCTGTTGACAAAGAGAGTGGGCCCAGAAGAACTGGTCATTTTCTATTAATCATGAAAACGGAAAATCAATGTACACTTACACACTTAACCGATCCACTATTTATAGACTATACACAGCAAGCTCCCTAAGTTCCTAAGTCATACAACGATCAAAGTAAACGGGCCGTGCCTTAAGGCCCAATACACAAGATGGAAAACACCCTATATATTTCATCACTCCCCCTCAAGTTGGAGGGCGGAAGATGTCAACAGCACCCAACTTGGACAACATCCTATTCAATGTTTCAGCACCCACAGACTTAGTGAGGAGGTCAGCTTCTTGACTAGCAGATCGGACATGCAGTAGCTTGATCAATCCTTGCAGGAGCTTCTCTCTCACAAAGTGACAATCAATCTCGATGTGTTTCGTGCGCTCATGAAACACTGGATTCGCTGCAATATGCATAGCCGCTCTACTATCACAATGGACATCAACTGGCTCTGTCTAGTTGATCCCCAAGTCACTCAATAATCCAACCATCCACACTATTTCTGAGACTGCAGAACCTAAGGCCCTGTATTCAGCTTCTGCAGATGACCTAGAAATTGTAGCTTGTTTCTTAGTCTTCCACTTGATTAATGAACCTCCCAACTTCAAGATATAGCCTGTGACTGATCTTCTAGTAGTAGGACAGGATCCCCAATCTGCATCACAGAAGCACTTGAGTCTGAAATTTCCTTCAGCACTTAGGAGGATACCATGGCCAGGTGTCCCTTTCAAGTATCTGATCACCCCAAGTGCTGCAGCCATGTGTGTCTTTGTTGGGATATGCATAAATTGACTCAAGACTTGCACAACAAAAGAAATATCAGGTCTAGTATTGGTTAAATATATTAAACGACCCACTAGTCGCCTGTAGCGTGCGGGATCTGGAAGCAAATCTGCTTTGCTATCCTTTCCTTCTTCATATGCTCTTAACCTCAGATTTTGAGCCATTGGAATGGTAAGTGGCTTGCATCCACTCAAGCCTGTGTCAACAAAAGATCCAACAAATACTTTCTTTGTGTTAGCATAATGCCTTTCTTAGATCTAGCAATTTCAATTCCCAAGAAGTACTTCATGTCCCCTAAATCCTTGATTTTAAAATTATTATGCAGATAGTCTTTTAACTCCATTATTCCCTGTTCGAGTTTCCAGTGATCAGCAAGTCATCAACATAGACTAATATTAAGACAAGACCATCAACATGTTGCTTAGTAAACATTGAATAATCATGTTTGCTTTGAAAATAACCAGCATCATGTAAAGCAGAAGTTAGTTTGCAGTTCCACTGCCTAGAGGCTTGTTTAAGCCCATATAAAGACTTTCTTAGCCTGCACACCATGTTCTCCCCCTTGTTCTCAAAGCCCTGGGGCAAGGACATGTAAACTTCTTCCTTCAAGTCTCCCTGCAAGAATGCATTATTCACATCTATATGGTAAGCATTCCATTTATTTACAGCAGCAATTTTAAGAATAACTCTAACGGTTACCATCTTAACAACCGGGGAGAAAGTCTCATGGTAGTCAATCCCCTCCCTTTGAGTATATCCTTTAGCTACCAACCTAGCCTTATATTTGTCTATGCTCCCATCTGGTCTGTACTTCATTTTAAATACCCATTTGCACCCTATAGCTTTCTTTCCTTTAGGTAGATGCACTATATCCCAAGTCCTATTATTTTCAAGAGTATCTATCTCACACTTCATAGCCTTTACCCAATCTGAATTCTTTACAGCTTCATTATATGAGTAAGGTTCTGAGACAGAGTCAATAGTACAAAGATAACACATATAGTTAGGAGAAATATTACCATAGCTGATGTAACTCTCTATAGGGTACTTGCACTTCTGCTTCCTAGCAGCTGATCCATCTTGTTGATCAGCCACCAAGTTGCATATGTAGTCCTTAGCCCAAACTGGAGCTCTTCTCTCTCGAACAGGTCTTGCTGAAGCTTCGTTACTGCTCCTGGTTTCCTGTTGTGCATCTGTGGAGCCATTATTGTCAACGGGTTCTCTACTCTCCATATGATTTGGAGACTGCCGATCTACTTCTTCTTCAACAAAATCAACAAAAGGTGTATGATCGAAATAAAAGATGTCTTTTGGATTATGATTGGCTCCCCCTTTCGTGGTGCCTATGTTATCTCTGTAAGGAAACTTATATTCCATAAAAGTTACATGTCTTGAGATAAACATTTTCTTTGCTTCTATATCATACAACAAGTATCCCTTTTTATTGTTGGGGTACCCAAGAAATATGGAAGGTATGGATCTGGGTTTTAACTTGTCTTTGACAGTCAGATCTGTGGCAAAAGCTAAGGAACCAAAGGTTTTCAAATTTTTGTAATCTGCTACCTCACCATGTATTATTTCATAAGGAGTTCTGTATCCTAAAATCCTGGATGGCAATCTATTTACCAGAAAGGTGGCCATTTTAACACATTCGCCCCAAAATTTAACAGGAACATTTGATTGAATCATTAAACCCCTTGAAATCTGCATTAAGGTCCTATGTTTTCTCTCTACAATCCCATTTTGTTCAGGAGTATAAGTACAGCTAGTTTCATGTATTATCCCTTTTTCTTTAAAATAATTCTGCAAGTCATGATTGGTGAATTCTGTCCCATTGTCACTTCTAATTTTCTTAACATTCACAGAAAACTGATTGGATACATACGCTAAGAAATTTTTGATGTGATTCACAGTTTTATGTTTGTGTTTCATAAGAAAGATCCAAGTGGCTCTAGAAAGGTCATCAACAATAGTAAGGAAGTAACAATAACCATGATATGTGGGTGTCCTATATGGTCCCCACACATCCATGTGCAGCAATTCAAAACAAAATTTTGACTTAATACAACTAGGTGAAAAAGGAAGTTTGGTTTGTTTTGATTGAGCACAAACTTCACAATCTACATTCATAGAAATATTTCTGCCTTGTACAAATTTCAAATGTCTCAATACAGATAAAGGTGCATGTCCTAATCTCCTATGTAGTAACCGAATATCAAGATCATTACATGATTTGCTCCCTTTACAAATAGCATTCACAACATCATGTGTTTCAGTACAATTTAAAATGTATAAGCCATTAATCAATCTACCAGTCCCCTTCTTCTTCCCATCCTGAAGGCCCTGCATAAAACAATGATTAGGAAGAAAACATACCATGCAATTAAGTTCCCTAGTGATTCTAGGCACGGAAATTAGATTGAATTGTAGTTGTGGGGCATATAGGATGTCTTCAAGATAAAAATCATCAGAAAATTTAACATTTCCTATATGCGTTGCTACAACTCTATCACCATTTGGGATCTTAATTGTCTTAGTTGGTCCTCCGTACTCGGTAAATGTATCTAGTAATCTTAGATCACTAACTAGATGTGTAGTAGCTCCTGAATCAATAACCCATCTAACAGGCACACGATGAGAAGGAGAAAAATTATCCAAACCTGTACCAGTTAAGGCATGGACTGCTGTCTCTGAATCTTGCTTCAATAATTCCAGGAGGCGTTCATACTGCTCTGGTGTCAAGGAGGTTATCACAGTATTTGCTGAATGGGCTTCAGAATCCCCTTCACCTTTGGCATTTAATCCTGCTTGATTGGCCGCCCCTGTCTTGTTTGTTTTAGCTCTATTCCCTTTAAAATCTGAAGGGTAGCCTATTATCTGATAACAATGTTCTTTTACATGCCCCTTCTTGTGGCAATGAGAACATTCCAGTATGGTTCCACCCCTCCCCCTACCTCTGCCACGTCCTCTGCTTTGTGCCACCATTGCTATCCCGTCAATTGGTCCATGCATTGTAGAACCAGTAATGGTTTTCTGAGCCTCATCTTCAGAGATCATGGCATACGCTTGATTCACCATCGGTAGAGGGCTCATCAAGAGGATTTGACTTCGCGCCTGAGCATAAGTATCGTTAAGGCCCATGAGGAATTGTAATAGCTTCTGCTGTTGCATTACCTCAGAGTAAATCTTGGAAGTATCACATTTGCAGGAAGGGATTGGAACCAGAAATGATTGTTCTTCCCAGAGTTCTTTCAGTCGTGTATAATACCCTGATACAGAGAGACCGCCTTGTCGAAGGGAGGAGATTTCTCGGTAAATTGTGAAAATGCGAGAGCCTGAAGCTTTATCGAATCGTTCTTTTAAATCAAGTCAGACCAGTCGTGCATCTTGAAAAAAAACAGCTCCATTCGCAAGCTCTTTCGACATTGAGTTGAGGATCCATGAGAGCACGACTGCATTGCAGCGCTCCCACTGTTCCTTCATGCTATCGTCTTGCTTTTCTTTCGTGCAAGATCCATCCACAAACCCCAGTTTGTGTTTTCCCAGCAGAGCAATCCGCATTGCCCTGCTCCAAATGTTGTAATTTTCAGCTCCCGTCAGAATTTGAGAGACTATCGTAGCTCCCTGTGTATCTGAGGGATGCAAATATAGAGGATTATTGAAATTCAGGTTTGCTGCGGCTGAGTCGTTCATCCCTTTCGATTCTCCCATTTCTGGCAATCCCGATCTTGTGTGCCTTCGGTGCCGTCAGGATTCGTCGATGCGCTCGCCGCTATTCTTGGTGTCTTTAATTTTCACCGAAAGTCGTCGTTCTCCTGCGCAACTCCTCTTCGAACATGCCAGAAGCTCAAGAACGATGTCGTTCACCGAAGAACATCTTTCTTCTGCAGCTCCTCTTTGAACATGCGGGAAACACAGGGACGACGTCGTTCATTCTATCTTTCCATTTCTTGGACCTTCAGGACCTTGCTCTTGATACCATGTTGACAAAGAGAGTGGGCCCAGAAGAACTGGTCATTTTCTATTAATCATGAAAACGAAAAATCAATGTACACTTACACACTTAACCGATCCACTATTTATAGACTATACACAGCAAGCTCCCTAAGTTCCTAAGTCATACAACAATCAAAGTAAACGGGCCGCGCCTTATAGGCCCAGTACACAAGATGGAAAACACCCTATATATTTCATCACTTCCCTTCCTTTTTTAATATCAATAGGGGTAATTGAGAAAAAATTAATAAATATGAGAAATAGATCTTATATTTAGGACCAAAATTAACTAAACAATTAGATCCTATATTAAGAATCTAATAAGTATTTAGTACTCCCACTGGTCCTCAATATAAGATCCTTTTTGTAGTGTAAATTACACTACAAAAATGGTTTTATATTTAGGATGGGAAGAGTAATATTAAAGTGCGTATAAATTTTGATTTTATGTTTGGCCATGATTTCTAAGAATGTTATGTTCTTTGGACACAAAATCAGTTTTTGTACTCATGGCATTTTTTATTTACCAAAAGTTGTCCATAGTTGGGGGCCTTGACACAGTATTTAGGATAGAGACTAGGAAGGGGAATCACTAGGAACCATTACCTATGGGTATGGCTGGATTGGATGTAGATGCTTCAGTCCGAGTGATAGAACCCACAATATTGGCCCAGAAATCTGAAGTATTATTACTAAACTGAATAATAAGTCCACACATCTACAAAGACTCAAGCGGAACTATTTATACTATGTACAAGTAACTAAAACAAATCAAACCACCCTATATGGGCCATAGCCTTAAGGCTTAATCACTCATAATACAATATGACACACTCATTACTTCCCCTCAAGTTAGAGGGTAAAAGATATCAATAACATCCAACTTGGATAACGTCTTCCTTAAAGATTTTGCTCTTAAAGATTTAGTGAGGATGTTAGCTTTTTGTCCAGAAGAACGAATATGCTACAGATTGATTAGCCCTTGTTGGAGTTTCTTCCTCACAAAATAACAATCAATTTTGATGTGTTTCATGAAACAGTGGGTTTGCTGCCAAATGCGTAGCCACTCTACTATCATAACAGACATCAACTAGTTCTAAATGCCCGATGCCTAAATCTTTGAGCAAGCCAACGATCCACACTAATTTTGAGACAGCAGAGCCCAAAACCCTATATTCAGCCTTGGTAAAAGGTCTGGAAACTGTAGCTTGTTTCTTTGTCTTCAATATTACCAGGCTCCCAACTTCGACAGATAACTTGTGATTAACCTTCTTGTAGCATGACAAACACCTCCTAGTCAATAGCATTTGAGCTATAAGTTTTTGTAAAGCCCTTAACCCACAAAACATTATAAACTCGTCATAAAATCACTATTATGGTAGAAAAGGAAATATGTTACAACTTACTACCATAGTAGAAAGAAATTTGTATAATTTTAGAAATTAACATTTAAACTCGGTTCAAACTCAAACTCCATTGCATGCAACTAAAATAATTCATTAACATCCATTGGGCCTCCGAGCCTCCGGCCCGGGTAACAAAAGACATCAACATCAGCCCATACGATTGGTTTCCAATAATGTGTATCAAAGTTTCACAAAACACTAGAAATGGCCTCCGACCAACCAAAAATAAGGAGATAACATTTCCTCCAGTTTACAATAAGACCAACAATCAAAATATTTCAAAAGGGGCCTTAAATGTGGCAATATACAATTAGCCATACATATACAAGGGCTAGAGGCCTAAAACTAACCAAGCTCAAGCCTCTGCGTTTCTTCCTGATGGCACACGCCTAGAACCTTCACCTGAAAACGTTGTAAACCACGGGGTGAGACAACGTCCTAGTAACCAGCCTTTCCAATTCAAGGTACAACTAAATAGGTGCTCGTGAGGTGTCAAGTGGGTCAGTTCACAAGTAATATGATAAATGAAAGCCACAATATGTCATGCAAGTGCAATGGTGCAATCCCATCAACCATATCCCTCATTTTGGGGGATTTTCAAGAGCCAAACCCGGCCTATCCCTCACTATGGGGGACGTAAGGAGCCATAAAAGGCATATCCCTCACTCTGGGGGACGTATGGAGCCAAAAGGCCTATCCCTTACTATGGGGGACATAAAGAACCAACCATCATGCATTAATGGAGGCCTTACCACGTGGTAGTAAGAATCAAAACTCTCACCAATTCCCAATTCATGCATCATGCTCAAACCGTAATCAAAGAGTAAATGATCATTTCACAATTAACTTCTTTCAGTGGCCTATCTTTCACAAGTTCCAGATTCAATCAATATCAATTAAAACCCCACAAGACGGTTTTCCTTTTCAATATACAACATACACTTTGAACATAGTTGTTACTCGAAGCACAAAACATAAATCCACTCACAATACCACAAAAGCATGTACAAAGGATTGGAAAGTGGTTACCTCTCGCCTGAGCAAGGAATAACAAACCAACAATACGGCCTCGTGCACCAACAAGGCTCACAACCGGTCTACACAAGCACACAACCATTATGTATTAGCTTTCAACTAATAATGTGGCAAAACAACACTTGGGGACACAAAATTCCTAGCTCTAACCACAACTCTACCCAACTAAAAAGGGTATAACCATCAAGGCAACACTCCAAGGTCATAAAAATCCATTAAAACCTTAATTCCTTTCCAAACATCAATTAAAACTCATAACCTCAAGGACCCACTATAGGAATTCAACACCCAAACATCCCATTTGAACATTTGAAGTCTTAACAACATTCTAAACCGATTAAACATCCAATTTAACCCTTCTTAACATAACCCAAATCACAAAACTCAAAATCAACTTCCACATTATCATCCTCAATCACAAACCTCCCATTCTCATAAACCCTAACTTCAAAAACTCCAAGTTCTTTAAATCCAAAAAAACTACACCGATTAAATACTTAGACTAACCCAGAGCAATCAATTAAACTCAAAACAATCGGTTAAAAACCTCAATTCCATCACAACCTAGAGAACTCTAGGGTTTCACCATAAATCCTCAGAAATTCCAAGAAAGAAAGTAGATTAGAGGTTAAAATTACTTACTTGAGGTAATGGATCCTTAGAAATGCCCCTCTCCAAGCTAAAAATGCAAAACCCTAGCACAGCCTCTCTCTCTTCCTTCAGATTTTCTATTTTTCGCACATCTGACCCCTCCCGCAACTATATAGATTCGACCCCTTTCGCCGTGGCAAACCCATAAGTTCGCCGTGGTGAACTAATCCCGAAAGGAATTACTCGCCTGAAAACCTGACTTCGCAGCAGCGAACTCCAATTTTCGCCGCGGCGAAACCTTCCTGAAAGGACACTCCTCCCGAAACTCCCAGTTCGCCGCGGCGAACAAACCTTGAGAGGGATTGTTCACCTATTCCTTCAACCTGCCTCAATCCCAAGCCAAACACCAAGATCAAGGTTAAATCACTAATCTATCCTCAAAATCAACCAAAAAGAGGCTATTAAAACCCGATAAAACTCAGGACGTTACAGTTTTCCTCTACACTCAGAAGAATACCACCTCTTGGTGTTCCCTTTAGGTATCTAACTACTCCAAGTGCAGCAGCCATGTGTGCTTTTGTTGGCATGTGCATGTGCTAGCTCAACACCTACATAGGGAAAGAGATATCAGGTCTAGTTGTTGTTAAATATATCAAATGACCTATCAATCTTCTGTAGCATTTTGGATTTTTTAAGAGATATGTTTTGCTATCTTTTCCCTCTTCATATGCCCTTAACCTTAAGGTCTGAGCCATTGGAATTATAAACCACTCAAACCTGCATTAGCAAGAGGATCGAATAGACATTTCCTTTGGGTCAATATAATTCCTTTCTTAGACCTTGCAATTTCAATTCCTAAAAAATACTTCATGATTCCTGAGTTTTTGATCTTAAAATAACTCTGTCAAAAAGCTTTCAACTCTCTTATACCAATCTTGGAGTTTCTTGTAATGAGTAAGTCATTAATATAAACCAGTACTAACACAAGACCATCAGTATGCATTTTAATGAACATAGAGTAATCTTGTTTACTTTAAAAATTTCTAACATTAGTTAAAGTAGAGGTTAATTTACTATTCTATTGTCTAGAGGTTTCACTACAACAAAAAAGAGTTTTTACCTCCCTTGTTTATGTCCATTTAAAAAAAAAAGACATAAAAAGTTATATTTTTTCATCTGTTTTGTAAAACACATGCAAAAAGTGTAGATTCTTTCTCTGTTTTTGCAAAATAGCTAGAAAAT